GAATTGAATAATATTGAATGTACAATACAATGTGTATTCTTGGTACATGTATAATTTGTCGAAGGATTTTTAATTTTGTTATATATGATTTTAAACTACATAAATAAATAAAATACTATTTATTAAATGAAATATAATAAAAAAAAAAACAAATAAAAAAAAATGTATTGTAAATATAACCAAAGTTTATGAACTTATAAAATAAACTATATTATTTAAAAATACGAGTAAAAGGGGGAAATCGTGATCAAGTTTAATTTTATAAGTTATAACCGAAAATAATTTATTTCCCAGATGTCTGACTTTCTCATTAATTTTATAATAACACACTGTATAAGAAATGACAAGTAAATATCGAGCCTGGGTTCTGTTGAACTAATAAATGTCTCACTACTTCTTGTGTAGTTATATAGTGAATACGATACATTATATTTCTGTATGTGTTCGTTATGCAAACTACTGAGTTCAATGGGAAATACTAATAACGTTTTTAATGACATGAAATATAAATACAAGGTGGTACGAAATCGTCAAAGAATATGCAATCAAGTATTGATATTATGTATCGAATGTATATTGTATGATATACTATACATAAATGGTTACAAAAAAACATGCAAATTTAATGTTGGTGTTTTACTCAAAAAGATTTATTTTGGTTTGATTGGCAAAATCGTATTAAAAGAAAATTTGGATGCTAAGCATGAAATACTGTGTATGGGTCTAAAAACACCGTCTAAATGATGAGACTGTAGCTATCCTTTAGAACTACATTCACAAATAAATTACGAACCCTCAAATAGGGGAAAAGACAATAGTCAAAACTCAAAATATACATACACCTATATCTACATCCAAACATGGACAATGGAGATTACAAATTACACTGCACAAAAAAATAAAATATAAACATGTTCATATTATAATATTTACACTTCTAAGCTACAAAAAAAAAAAAAAAAATTAACATGGTGAAAACACAGTATTTGGTAAAATAATAGTCATATAGATTATGTTCAAGCCATTGCGCGGTATCACGCCACTGCATCGGAAGAATAATTATAATTTCCCACTCCCATGGTCGAACAATGTCTTTTAAATAAATATTTATGATTTATATATTTTTTTTCGTTTTGCAATAATTAAAACAAAATGAGATTACCACATGGTAATAAAAGCGATTCAACAATAAATTTAAAAAAAAACAAAATATAAATATATGAACGAGATGTTATAGGAGAACAATTTCTGAAACCATAATAATATACTCGATTCCATGGGTAAAATAATTCGTTTTTCTTGCGCTATATTATTACTTTAATGCGTTTCGTCGTACGCCGAACTAGCGATTTCACAAAAACATCGCCATTAAAGGCGTATCGTGAAATGCGCGTCTGCCTTTTACTCTGCAGATTTTTGGATACCGGCAACGTCGAATGAGCGTTAGTTTTATAGCGATCGAAATATTGAAGAAATGTGAGTGGGTTGAATGACGCGTTATCCTATAAATGTGTGTATTTTATGACACGAGTATTTCCCACATGCCTAAATATTAAAAAAAAAAATGAAGTCTTTCTATATTCTGTATCATACGTGTGCGTCATAAAATGGTATTGTCAACGTTATTATTGTTATTATTTATCAATATTATGCGATAGAGAGAGATTAACAATAGCTGTCATCTGGAAGACTGGAAACATCGTCGATGGAACGGAATATTTTTATACAACAACTCTAGTCTATTATTTCTCGAATCACAAACTATTTTGTAAAAATACGGAAACATAATATTATAAATTACATTGCACATCACTATCCACTGATATATTTTGCTAATGCATTAAATAGTAAACAGCAGGTAAATAAATAATAATTATATTTCAGAGTATTAAAAATGTAGCTACTTTGCTTAAATTTTAGTATGTAAGTATACATATCATATCATATTACATATCATATTACCATGTGTGGCTAATGGACCTGGACGGTCAATCGAGAATGATCTCAAAGTCGACCGAACTTTGTTAGAATTTATTATTATATATTTAGTTGCTCCCCTTAAAAACCCCAGCGACCACTGTGGATAATAGTTGTATATATTTTTATGGCTCCCTCAGTGAAACAAATATATTCTCGGCAGATCTTTATCCAAAAAAAGCTTAACTACCCCTAATGTATACTGACGGTTTATATCACGATAGTCGACATATTATGGCACCACTGCACCAGAAAAAAAGAAACAAATTATTGGGTTTGTTATTGGAAAGTATTATTTATTACAAAACCTAAAGAAAATTTGTGGTACTCACGGTATAATTATGTGACCTAACTTGAATTCAAACTATATCTGAAATAATAATTTGCTTACAATATTATGTCAAATACGTAATTAAAAAAAAATAGGTTTATTAGTTGTAAATAAAAACATTAATACCTAACCATAGGAATAATGATAGTGTAATGGTATATTAAACCAAGAATCTACTTGATGATTTTTCGTTTCAATATTACATTTTGAATAGAACACCGTCATTAAGGCAATTATATGATATATGAATAATTCGTACTTGTTCATAAATATGGATAAATGTGATTTAAGCAAGATCAGCACAATTGCAATCACATTAATTGGTCATAATTTATTTGCATAATGTCGATGATATTAATGTAGGTAAAAGTCAAATTTGTCTTTGTAAGTAGTTTGCAATTAGTTTGCAATTTGTTGTATCGTAACCATGGCCCGACAATAACTAAGTAGGTAATAAGAAGTAAAAGTATCAAGTTACCAATTAGTTCTTTGAGTTCATAAAGAAAGGTAGGTACATCTAATTTTAGTGTAATAACACTAATAAGGCTCCACAAGTTTCTGCAATCACGATTAAATAATCGTTAATAGGTTTAACAAGTATTTGTATAAACTATA